CACCTTTATAGGTTCTTATTAACTCTTTTCAAAGTATTCTAATTTAAGTGTCCCATATATTTTTTGCTTTGGAGCCTGATTGATATAGCAAAAGATGTACATTGCTATATTAAATAATGCTATGTATTTTTACAGGTACATGTATACATAAGTAAAATAATAGGAAAAAGTCTGGGTAAATACCCACCAAACTGTTAACAGGAATTGGTTTTGAAGATGGGGAGTGCTGATCCAAGGGAACTGTAGTTTTATTTGCAATTATTTGATTTTTTTTAGTACTTTAAAATTATTTATTTATTTTTATTTTATTTAAAGATTTTATTTATTTAGTTTTAGAGAGGGCAAGGGAGGGAGAAAGAGAAAGAGAGAAACATCAGTGTGTGGTTGCCTCTCGTGCACCCCCTGCTGGGGAGCTGGCCTGCAACCTAGGTATGTGCCCTGACTAGGAATCAAACCAGTGACCCTTTGGTTCACAGGCCAGCACTCAGTCCACTGGGCCACACCAGCTAGGGCTGAATTTTAAAAGAATTTATTGAAATAATACTTATGTAATGAAAAATTAACCTTCAGAATAAAAACATAAAATGACAGCACTGGACTCAATTAATGGCTTTCAATCACATTGGCTGTGACCTGACATGTGGAAATATAGTTTCCATTGTGACCCACTGGAGCCATATACCGATAACAGACTGGGACAAAATTTTCATGAATAGTATTTACTCTTACCATGAACAATGCATTCTGCTATACTTTCTTTTGTAATCTATTTCATTTTTAAAGCTGTCCTACCTGACCCACTGACATCTTATTATGACTCACTGTTGGGCTGCAACCCTTATTTCTAAACACTAGAGTAGATGATCACTATAATTGTTTATCTTTATAAAAACTGCCCCTGGCCTTGGGCTTTCCACATTCCCTGAACTCCCTGGTTATTTATGGTTTCTTTTGTTTGGTTACTACAAAATTATCATTTTAGCACAAAAATTAGCATTATCTGTATGTTCTTTATTCATTTGGGTGTCTTTTTTGCTTCTCAGTGAGGGGAAATCCTTTTCAGATTGGGAACCCAGTGATCGGAGACTACACAGAATAGTGTGTGTTTGAAATGGTGAAATGGTGTGCGTGCGTGTGTGTGTGTGTGTGCGTGTGTGTGTGTGTGTGTGTGTGTGTTTGTAGTCCCAAAGGCCTAAAAAACATTCAGTGGATACTTGTAGATGCTGCTGACCCAGGGGTTTGAACAGGCCCTGTGTTTCTCCTTTGAAATGCTCCCAGGTGTTCTCGCCATCAGGACTCCCTTCCACCCCCACCCCTGTAGCTCCTCAGAGGAAGCCATACAAAATGTCTTGGTACCTATACCTTTATAAATATTCAACCAAAAGGCAAATGGTATTTTTCAATTCTGAACAAAACTTTACTGTGGCAAACAAATACCCCTCCATTCATTCCAAAAGCATTGAAAAACCAAAGGTTGAGGAAAGAAACAAGTAAGGCAGACCAGGAAAATGTTTTGGAAAGAGCTTTCAGGGAACAGGGATTTCTGAGATAAATCAGATGCAGGGACAGAAAAATATTTGCTCACCAAAGAAATGTTGGAGAATAAAAATGAATTTCAGCCCCACAATACTGGATTTTCTCATTGCTCTTAGCCTAATTTGAATACTTGTATATATTTACATATTGTTTTCCAGTGACTAATTCCTGACCACTGTAAAAAAATACAGATTTAGTTCTGCTTTGTTTTTGAGAGAGAAGGAAGGAGAATGTCACTGTTTCTTTTCTATTAGACTACCAGTGTATCATATTTTGCTGGAAATATGAAGGCCGTAGATGGGAACAGAAATATTGTCTTTCATTTTTATTTTTTTTTGAAATTTGCTATTAAGTTTATGCAGTCTCTTGACATGAAAACAAAATGAAATGAAGGCCATTCAATTTCATTATCAAGGCTACAGACTGCAGCCTGGGATATGGAATTTAAAAAAATATCACAGGCTGCTGTTCCCTGCATTTGGGGCTTCCTAGTAGACTTGTTATCCACTCCACTCAAATTATTCTCTTCCTTGGGGAGACTTAAGGGAAGCTTAGATCACTAGCTCCAGATTTGGAACTAGCACTTTTCTTGACAGAGGTGCAGCTCAGTGTCTGAGTCAACCCTCAGTCAGGAGCTCTGTAATGCAAGTAGGAATGAAGTGCCCCAGAGATTCTAATGTTGAAAACTCTGTAATGATTCCCCACTGCCTTCAGGGTCAGGTTCAATGGCCTAAGCCAACCTCCAAGACTCTATCTAATGAGGCTTCTGTCCCCCTCTTCAGCTTCTTCCTACCACTTTGCTCCCAAAACTTTTGCCTGCCTCCATTCTCTGCAGCCGAAGTGGCCTTTTAAAGTTGTTAGGACCCTCCAAAGAATTTGCATTGTGTTGAAAATCAGATCCAGATTCCTTAGCATGTGCTACAAGTCTTTTCATAATCTGGCCCCTGCCTACCTCACTAGTTTCATTTTCTACCATCTGCCCCTTTCACTACATCTCAGCCAGGTTGCCCTCCTCTCTGTTCCTTGAACACAGCTCTTCCTCAGATAGTAGCCTTTGCAACTGCTGTTCCCTGAGCCACGGACACTACCCCAGATTTTCCTTTCTTCCCTCCAAGTCTTCACTAGCTGCCTGTGCAGCCAGCGCCAGGTGATCTTCCTGTTTTTCATTCAATTCTCCAAAGCAATCGGGTTTGTCTGTCTCCTCCTGGAATTTGAGCACCATGAGGGCAGGCAGCATGTCTGTCTTACTCACCAGTGTATTTCTCATGTCCAGACTGGGGGGACTGGCACAAAACTGGTGTTAATACAAATCAGTCAGGGAATGAATCAATATAGCCAGTGGTGTTCAAACCTCAGTAAACATCAAAATCAGTTGGAGGCTTGTCAAAACACATATTGCTGGTCAGGTCCTCGGAGTTCCTGATTTGGTAGACCTGGGTTGACATTCATGAATTTGTATTTCTTCCAAGTTCTCAATTAAAGGTAAACTGGCTGGTCCCGGGATCACATTGTGAGAAATGCTGGTCCCAGCCATAGCCAAGTGCTTGAGTTCTGGACTAACATATATAAATATTTCCATGCCTTTGCTTCCTGTCTTTACTTCCTGGAAACTTGCTTCCTTTATTCCTTGGGCAAGCCTTCAACCCTGCTTTAAGACTCAGGATGGGCATCACTTCCTCCAGGAGGCCTTCTCCAATATTGTGCCCAAGTCTGTGTCCTCCAGCACCTGGTGCAAAAGCAGTCCTAACCTTATCACAATGCATTGCGTTACCCCTACACGGGGTAACTGCGTTTTTCGAGACCACAAGCCTTCCAGGCCTGATTTAGACACACCCATGTTCCAGCTAGAAGCTCAGGATCATTCCTTCTGAACTCCACACAGGAATTTGCTGCCTCTGAAAATCAAGCCAGACCTGACTTCTGTGCAGCTCTAGACTTTGACCTCAGTCTCAGTCCTCCTTTCACTTTTTCCTCTTACCAAAGTCAACCAAAGAATGGCTTCTTCCCCTCTCTCACCAATGTTTAATTTCTCTAGCTTGTGCTCAGACCTAAACTGTTCCATTCATTTGGTTGGCCTCAATATACAGTACTGACCTGGAGAGGGCCAGCTCACTTTCGCAAGGCAGAGCAATACATGCTAAAATTGGTTCGAGGGGAAATAAAAGGAAAGGTTTTTAAATGGCTTCTCAGATTCCAATTTTATCTTCCTGAATGATGCCTTTGAAGTCATCCTCATTTTTGCTAGTGATTTTATTTTATTTTATTTTTTATTTAGTTATTTTTCAAGTACAGTTTTTTGTCTATTTCTCCCATCCCAGCTCCCCCCCCCCCCCCGGCTCCCCACCTCCCTCCCATTTCCCACCCCCCAGTCCTCATCCCTGTGTCCTTCATACTTGTTCCTCCAAATCCCTCCCCTTTTTCCCCCTTAAATTCCCTTCCCTCTCCCCTCTGGTCACTGTCCCCTTGTTCTCTATTTCAGTGTCTTGGTTTTTATTCTACTTGCTTGTTTGTTTTGTTGTTTAGCTTCCTGTTAAAGGTGAGATCATATGGTGTTTGTCTTTCAACACCTGGCCTATTTCACTCAGCATAATGCTTTCCAGTTCCATCCATGTTGTTGCAAAGGGTAGTAGCTCCTTCTTTCTCTCTGCTGCATAGAATTCCATTGTGAGTATGTACCACAATTTTTTGATCCATTCATTTACTGACGGGCATGTAGGTTGCTTCCATCTCTTGGCTATTGTAAATTGTGCTGCTATGAACATTGTGGTACATAGGTTCTTTGACATTGATGTTTTAGGATTCTTAGGTATAATCCTAGCAGCGGAATTGCTGGGTCAAAAGGCAGGTCGATTTTTATTTTTCTGAGAAAATTCCATACTGTTTTCCATAATGGTTGTACCAGTCTGCAATCCCACCAACAGTGAACTAAGGACCCCTTTTCCCCACACCCTCTCCAACATTTGTTGTTTGTTGTTTTGTTTATGATAGCCATCCTGACCGGTGTAAAGTGGTATCTCATTGTGGTTTTAATTTGCATCTCTCTGATAGCTAACAATATTGAGCATCTCTTCATGTGTCTCTGGATCTTCTGTATGTCCTCCTTGGAGAAGTGTCTGTTCAAGTCCTTTTCCCATTTTTTAATTGGGTTAGATGTCTTCTTAGAGTGGAGTCGTGTAAGTTCTTTGTATATTTTGGAGATTAAACCTTTGTCTGAGGTATCTTTGGCAAATATGTTTTCCCATACAGTTGGTTGTCTTTTTAATTTAATAGTGTTTTCTTTAGCCATGCAGAAGCTTTTAATCAGTAAATATAATTTGCTAATGATTTTGAGAAACATCAGTGCTGCTCACTTGCCTACTGCAGACTCAGCAGGAGGGCAGAGAGCTCTGGGAGGCCTGCAGGAAGGTCTCAGGCTCAGGTTGCCGCTGGATTCAAGCCATGCTCACACTTTGGGGGAAACTCACCTGACTGTGGTGTTGGAGCTGCACCCAGCCTCCGTAGCCAAATTTCTGCAGGGGGGGAAAGAAGCACAGTTAGACCAAAAGAACAAATCAGACAGGACTGCAATAAAGGGGCAAGGAATCCTGAGCTCCATCCTTTTAAGCTTCATCTTCCCATTTTTCTTCATATCCGCATATCATTTAATAATTATATTTAAACCAATTTACTTTCTTTCCCTAAATGAATTTATTCATGAAGAAAATTCTAAATATATCATGGAAGTGCTAGTTTTACCTTTTATTCTCAAGCAGTTTGTAATTTTCAAATGAGGATTTATGTTAAAATATATTTGTTTACATACCACCTAAGCTATTTCAGGGGCCACAGAACCTGGCCGGTAAGGACCGCTCTTTAGGAAATATTCTATTAGAACACTGCTCTTCAAACTGTGGGTTGTGTGTAATCAAGGTAGTGGATAGTGACCCAAATGTTCTAAAAACACAAAATAGTATGTGTAGCAGATGGTGTTGGTAGAATACTCCCTCCCCCTGAACATTTCTGTGTACACTAATCTATTGCCACTGGAACAGCTTTGGTCAGGCCCTTCTAGCATGTCAGAAGTACCAGGACAGCAGCGTTACATCTCCCCTCAGCAGTCCCCAACCACCGACTGAGGATGTTTGCCCATAAATACACTGGACACGCTAGTTCAAAGGTCTGACTGAGGTGAGGCACCCATGTGCACCTCCTTTGGCTGCCTTGCTTTCCCTGTCTTGCTGCCTCACTGTACTGGTGTTTTCTGAGATCACCTCCAAAGTAAACTACTTGCATTTGAGTCTCTATCTCAGAATCTGCTTTTTGGAAAACCTAAGCCTAGATAGTAAAGTAATGGAATGGAATGGAATGGAATAGATTAGAATGCCTCCTATGTGTAATTATTCATTTCACGAAACTCTTGTTTCCATTATATACATTGATGTTTGTACTGAGACACAGTATAAATTATATTTCTCCTTGGTGGTTATGAATAAAAAAATTTGAAAGTCTCTGCCTAAGGACATAGGTAAATGGGACTCATTAATTATAGGTTTTAAAATCACATTTGGATCATTCACTCTTCATTCAGTCATTCTTCAAATCTTCATGGAGTCCCACCTATGACTGGTCTTACTAGGGTGGAGAGAATACAAGTGAAGAAAACTTCCAGCCTGTGGAACACAGCCTTGAGAGGGTGGGGCTGGGGTGGGCATGTATCACATGTGAGACATGCTGTGACTGAGTGGTGCACAAATTTTGTGGGAGCCAGGAGGAGGGTTCTGACCCACAACTTGGGTCAGTGGTGTCAGGGAAGGCAGGTTGAAAACATATTCTGGGGTCAGATCGGAGGAGAGGTGCTTCCTTCCAGTGGTCTGCATTTCCAAGCTCCAATGAGGTGGCTTTCAAATTGTGATGTAAGAGGGGAAGGTGTGGGAGCCAGAGACAGTGATGTGAGGAGCTCCCTGGCGATTCCAGTCATCAATGGTGGGTAGGTAAATTAAGAAAATTGAAGATCAGTACAATTTCTCATGTGTTATAGTTGGACGAGACAGCTAACAGTGGCTGGTTCTCATGACAGGGAGGTTGTCATGAGGAAGTCAAGCCTGGCAGATCCCTTTTCCTGGCTCTGCTCTCCCCTCCAGACTGAGAGGGGAGAGCTGGGCATAGAGGTGTTTGTGTATGTCTGTGTCTGTGCCTGGGGTTGGCCCCACCAGACTTCTTAAGAGTTGGGTCAGTTTCATACTAGCTTTATTCTACCTGAACATAAATTTGATTCTTGTGTTATAGCATCAAATAATCATCTTAACTGTAGATCTACCTGCTTCTCTCTAGGTGACATCAGAGGACATGGCATGGTGGGCTGGGCATGCAAGGGAAAATGTGCACCAGGGACCCAAGCTCCTCCTCTCTGAACATAGTTTGTCCTTTGCCTGTGTTTCTCCCCTCCTGCTTCCGCTCCCGCTGGCACAGTCCTCCCTTCACAATTTAGTACCCTTGAGTTTTTCCCTCTCTTCCTTTGTCTAAAGCTGCCCAGAGATGTATGCTAGAGGAGGGGGTGGAATACCGATGGCCTCATCAGTTACCCTTTAGATTAACTTAAACTCTCAAACTGGAAATTTGCCATTGAAATCTTACTTTAGTGTATTATAAAAGATTTTATTTTCCTTCTTTCTTTCCCTTTTTCTCTTTCACTTCTTCCTCATTCTCTTTCTTACTTTTTCTTAATTCTCTACAGAACTTTAATCCATAAATTAGCAGGTTAGAAAGTATTCCATCTGGGGTAGGTCAGAGAGGAAGAGGAAGGGAGAACAGAGAGCTCTTGTCACATGTGACAAACCACTCTGAAAGGTACTTGACTTTGCTGAAGTGATTTAACATCTCGAAGTCACTGTTTCCTTTGTGTACCATGAGGCAAACAGCAGTGGCTGTGACATAGGGTTTTATGGGAATTAACTGAGATAATTCACAGAAAGCTATTGTCACCAGATTTGGTTTACAGAAAGGACCTCATCAGTGCTAACAGTGATGATGATGGTGACAGTGGGAATGGCAGTGGATATGGTGGTGGCAACAGTGAAGATGATGAAGGTGATAGTTTTGTAGGGATGGTGTTGTTGGTAGTGGCAGCGGTGAAATTTGTGAGCTGGTAGTGGTGATGGTTGTGGTGGTGAGCTTGGTGGCAGTAGTGATACTGATGATGGTAATGGGAGTGTTGGCAGACAGTGATGGCAGTGAGGGAGGCATAGTGGTGACAGCCTATTCTATCCTTAGCTGGTATAATAAGGCAGACAGTAAGGAGTGCCATGAAGGAAGAAGCCCTTTGTCACTCTACTCCTCCCTCCCCTGTCTTGGAAAGCACAGAATCGGAACACTTTGTGATTCCTCTAGGCTCCTTGCAAAGACCTAACTTATTTGGATAAACTTAATTCTGTTCCAAGCCTGTGATTTGTTCAATCCCCCAGCTCTCATCCTAAATTGAACCAGCCTGAGATCTGAAATTAAGACCCTGGGAGTACTTTTGGTCAGTGCATAGGCCAGGGGGCATTGCCAGTTTGGGGATGTTTCACTGACAAGGACCAAATGTTCCATAGGCACTATGGGCATGACAAATAAAAAACAAATTAAAAAATTCAAGGGAATTTAGTTCTATACACAAGAGATGTGTTTCTGAATTGGACATCTATGAATTTGGTTGATGAACTGATGCCAGTTTTAATGTCTTTGGGGATCTCACACTTTCATATGGTGAATAATAAATTTCCTGGATGATGAAACCAAGTATCTCTTTCCTCACAGAGGTTGTTTAAGAGTCAAGTTATGTCTGGGATTTTGTCTCCTAAAATCTTACAGTGAATAAATGCAATTAAATTATTGCTAACATATATATATATATATATATATATATATATATATATATATATATATATATACAATTTTTTTTTACTAGAGGCCAGAATTTTTTGACTCAATTTAAAATTAGAAGAACCTTTGCAAGCCCTACTATTGGACACATAATAGGTGGTCAGTAGAGTCTTGCTGAAGGGAAAAGTCGAAACCTTATTATCATCATGGCTTTGATGCATAATCTCCTGTGGATCGACCTGAAAGAGCTTTCACCAAGGTTTCTCCCCCGCCAACCTCCTGTTTGTGATAGCAGAGTAGATGGGTCCTGATTCATTAGCAACAGTGGAATCAAGTGCCCTCTCAATCTGCTTTCTTTTCACCTCACAGATCTTAATTGTAACTCTGACTAAAATCATTATTAGCAAGGGAAAAAGGAAAAGCTGTCTCAAATCCCAGTCCTTTGTAATCATTAGTTAATCATCAAGCCAGGCATGTTGATTCTGCTTTTCTGTTTCTTCATTGCATAAGGAGGTCAAGGTTATTGAGGTGTGTCTATTAATATTTAATAGAGAAAAGCAGGTTTGAAAAAACGGGCTTTATCCTCTAACATAGAACTAGTACTGGCTTATTCTTTTCATCCTTTTATTGCAAAGTTTGAAAAAATAGTAAAAAAAAAAATCAGAGAGACTGATGTTTTGAAACATTTTACCCACCAAGAAACATTTGGAAGACAAAGTAAAATCTGCTTTAACTATTGAACTATATGAACACCAACCCCCCCCCACTATTAACTAGTGTCACATTAACACTCAATTTACTGTGACCAAAGAGACTGACAGTGGGCAGAGAGGGAGAAGAATCTCAGCACAATTTAATGTATTTTTATTTATCTCGCTCCTCCCAGTTTGAAAACACAGAACTGTTTTCTGCCAGTTGTTTTATCACTGGCTTGCCTGCATGTAAATGAAAACTTATACCATATAACAGGTCTGATTGCCTGACCTGCAAGTTGGAAGCCAGGTTCCAATGGCCCCATGGTGAAGCCCTAGGTGGGCTTGGAGAGTCTGGGAGTGGACTGGTGTCGAGGGAGGCGCTGGAAGGCAGAGGGACCAGGGATATCCCTTATAGTAGTGGTAGTCTCCTGGACCAGCTGTCTCGTTCAGGTGTGGTGGTCATGCTGGGGAGGGGCCATCGTGGTCCCAAATAACTCTGGGATCCTGGGCTCATTTCTGAGTCTCCAGTACTTTTTCTGTCCAGCTGGGTTAATAATATAAATCTTCTGTATTCTGCAATTCACATTTTATGTGAATCAAATTACATGTTGTTCCCTATGATTATTATTACTACTATCATCACAATCATTATCATCATCATCATGTGTCATCAATTATCCGCTTGCAGTGTGTGAGACTGCCGGATAGATGCCTGATTTCTATGACAGAATGCCACTTCCCTCTTTGAGGGAATACCTGGAAGATAGGGACGGGAGGTGGGGTAAAGAGCCAGCAGAGCAGGTGCTTGCTGAGCCTCTGGGGCACCCATTTGTGGCTATAGCCTCCCCATGCTCTGCATCCCTCAGCTTCCTATGCAGTTTTAACAATAACTTTAGGGCCCTGCATTAGGTGGGGCACTTAGAAATTATAGGCTCTTGGTGACCAGTTCTTCGCTCAATCTAGCTTTGGGGTGGGAGACAAGCAATGTGAGGCGGGGCTGTGGCACAAGATACTAAGTACACCGTTTTCTCCCCTTAGCAGAGGAGGCATCTTTTTTGGCTGCTCTGAGCTGTCATCACTAAAACTGTGAAGTGGTGTGTACATTTTAGTAAACTCTGACGAGGACAACAGCATTCAGAACAGCAAGTCCCCACGCAGGCACTGAGACTCCCTTGGCAGGGGTGAGTTTGATGGGGTTAAGCTTTTATGATTGGCTGCAAAAGGACAGCCTTTCAAAGATGATTCAGCATCATTTTGTGTTTCTCAATCCACAAAGTCTACCACCCATTTTACCTAAAATACCATGAACAAAGAAACACTTAAGATTAACAACTATGAGAAGGAAATATTCTCAGCTACTTGCACAATGAACCACTATGAGAGTTTAGGTTAGTACATTTTTCTTCACTTGGGCTAAAAAGATGAAACATATCAGTGGTGCGCATGTTCTAGAGAAGGCTTAAGATGGGGTAAAACCTGATACTTAGCCTGAACAGACTCAAGCCAATTGTAAATTTTGTTCATGTCTCCTACCTTCTAATGGTTTTATTCAATGTTACAGTTATTCATTCAAAAGTTCTTAATAACAAAAGGAAATTTCCATCCTTTGAGAAACCCAGAGAAGACTCTTTGGAGATATTCATTGTGCAAAGGCTATATATTATCTCCTCTATGGTTTTTTGATGTTCCTTCTCTCCAGTTCGTAACAAGGATTTATAGCTTAAAGAATATCAAAAAGCAAAGGTTTCAGACAGCATCCTAAAATAGACTACAAAAATTTCCACAAGTTATCTCTTGGTGTTTCTAAACCTTATTTTAAACATTTGGGAAAGGAGATATGTTTTAAAAGTCCTGGAAACCTATCACATTCCATTTTTTTAATAGTCTCTTACTGGAAACTGTAACTTTAAATTTTGTAGTTGGCACATATCTTCCTAGCAGCTGAATATGTGGTTTAAATGGAAGTAAAACTGCCTGACTTAAACTGTTCAGAAATTTTAAAGAATGCTTCAAGAAAGGGATTTTGAGAAAGCACTTATTTCTTTGATCCACATTCTTTCAAAATTAATATAAAAGTTATTTTTGAAACCAGGAAATCAGAGCTGCCAAATAGCACTCCCTTTCAAAGCACTCCCAGATCAGAAAAACTTAACATCTAATTCCTCAAAGAAGAGATAGGTCTATAATACAGGCACTGAGACACCCCGAGGAAGTTCCAAAAATAATTCAGCAAATTAATCACCATTACCTTTTTTAGATCTGGCCATTCTTTTGGTAGAATATGACTGTAGATGTCAATTTTCATCTCCACAAGATCAGAGGAAAAGTGTATAAGGAATGAAGTTTTGATACCAAGAGAGCTCCTTGAAAACCATGGAGATAAGTAATTTACTTTGTCCCTGTGGCTGTGTTTAGGCACTGGTCAGAAGCCTGTTCAGCCAAGTTAGGTCCATTGCAGTTGCCTTATTAAAGTTCAAAGTCTGTTTGTCAACATAGCTTTGGATAAACAATTCTCTGGTAATTAGGATGTGGAGCACAATTTTTTTTTTAAAGGACTGTACTAAACCTTATGAGGCCAAATGTATTACAGGCTGCTTTTGAGTTCAGTAAGTCCAAAATTGACTAACCTTTGTTTTTAAATATTTCAATTCTTATCAAGATGTACATAGTAAAAAAATCAAATAGTACCTGGTTAAAAACCAAACAGCACAGAGAGTTTTTAAAGAAAAAATAATAGTTCCCTGACTCAATACTTCTTGTGCTTGGTTTCATTTCCCAGGAGCAACCAATTGTAAGGCTTTTGCCTTTTGTTCAGTGAGTTGCCTCCATGTCTTTAAACAACATTTAACATTGTTCATGAAAATCTGATATGTTGCAAAGTTGGGGAAGTTGCACCTGTAGTTTTATTTTATAGAAAGAGCTTATTCTTGAAAGAAGTATTCCAAGTCATGAAATGCAAGGACCTACATCCAATATTGCTCTATTCAGCAAAGCTTTCATTTAGAATGGAAGGGCAGTTGAAGTATTTCTCAGATAAGGTCAAGTTCAACGAGTTCATCAGCACCAAACCCTTATTAAATGAAATGTTAAAGGGACTTATCTAAGAAAAAGAAGATAAAAAGTATGAACAGTAAAAAGACAGCAAACTCATAGTTATTAACAACCACACCTAAAACAAAAGCAAACTAAGCAAACAACTAGAACAGGAACAGAACCACAAAAATGGAGATCACATGGAGGGTTAGCAACAGGGGAGTGGGGGGGGGAGGTACAGAGAATAAATAGAATAGATGGTAGGTAGAAAATAGACAAGGGGAGGGCAAGAATAGTATGGGAAATGTAGAAGCTAAAGAACTTAAGACCCATGGACATGAACTAAAGTGGGGGAATGTGGGTGGGAGAGGGTGTGCAGGGTGCAGGGGAATGAAGGGGGAGAAATGGGACAACTGTAATAGCATAATCAGCAAAAAATGTTTTTCAAAAAAGAAAGAGCTTATTCTTAATATACATTTTTCTCCACTGCCTTTTTCATTCATTTATTCATGCACGAATGCATTTAACAAACACTTACTGAGAACTACTATGTGTAGAGGATATAAAATGAAAAGGCTGAATGAGATAAAATGATACATATATTCTAATAGATAATTGTGCACAGCCCTAACTGAGGAAAAGAAGAAAGTCATTTTCATTGAGGGTCATCAGAGCAGTGTGGGGAAGGCTTTCACTGGAATATAAAGTAGGGCTCACGGTCATGTCTCTAAAGAGAACTTGGAACAAAGTAGCCCTTTGCTGTTCTATGTTTAGCCTTTCCTCTTCCTGGAAAACTGAAAATGTTCAAGGGACTGAGGCCCCTGTTAAGTCTTGAACTTTCTTTGGGATGTTGCCTTCCACTCGGTCTCTATAATACATGAACTAAGTAGTTTTAAAAAGCCTTCCTACTAGGGTATTCAACTAGCTGCTGGATAAAGTATAACAAGCATACTTTTAAGTGTTGCTTGAAAGAAAATGAAATCCTCAAGATCAGTTTTTTTTTTTAAGTTTGATGAGCTAAAACTGAATGACTGAGTCTTAAATTGACATGGAGGTACTCACAAATACCCAGAGTAAGTGTAAGCACTTTTAGAGTACCTCCTATGGCACGAGACACTGTCCTAAGCATTTTAACTCATATCACTTCATTTATTCATCATAACAGTACTATGAGGGAAGAACTATTACTAACCTCCATTTCATAGAAGAAGAGCTGAAGCACAGTGAAGTTAGGCAACTTGCTCATGGTCAGCAATAAGTGGTAGGGCCAGAATTTGAACGCAGGCAGTGTGGATACAGAATCCTTGAGCTCTGAGAATTAATATTCCACAGAGGAGTGGGAGATCATACCATGTGCTTGTTCAAAGCTGAGACTCTCTCATTAAGCTAGAATTTTTGAAGAGGCTAGACCCCCTAATGAGAAAGTAGACCACAAATATATCCACTAGTCAATAAAGGGGATATTTTGTTATAAGGAAATCTGTGAGGGGGTCTGTAAGTAAACCTTTCTCTACTATAGTGAGAAGAAAAGGAGAAAAAATGTTTTCTTGGAGAATTTCTTTAAAAAGTACCGTTCGAAGACACCTACTAAAATTTTTAGTTAAGGTATCAGGTTGGTAATGTTCAACTACTTCCTTCCCACCCATTCCCAGAAAATGAACATACAAATTCTTTATGGAGGAAATAATTCCAACTGAGTCCCCTTTGTATGCCACAAATTAAGGTAAACAAAATATTGGCTCATAATAAAAAGTTCTACACACATGAGGAAAAAAGCCATCATGAGTGAATATCCACAGAAATAATAATACATTTAAATCTACAAGGACAGATATATTGGAGTTATTAAACAAAGAATATAAATGTATTACATATGGAGCATTTAAAAAAAAGTTTAAAAATTAACCAAGAGACTATCAAATGATTGGCCAAGTTTGAAAAGGAACAAAATAAAACTTTCATAAATGAAACCATTGTAATTTAAATGAAAAACTCAACAGATGTGTTAAATAACAGAATGGACATAGTTGGATAGAGAATTAATAAACTAAAAGAGAGATTTGCATAGAGAGATGAGGAGATTGAGCCTATATAGAAGGGACACAAAGTTCAAGGGATGGAATAAGAAAGTCTAAAACCAGTCTAATTGAAGTGCTAAAAGAAAGAAAAGAGATATTCCAAGAGATAATAGCTGAGAATTTTTCAGACCTGATAAGCCAAAAGATCTGACTCAAAAACTAGATGAAGAAAGATTAATGGAGTTTCTTATGAACTCCATTTCCAGAAATCTTGCAATAAAATTATAGAACACCAATAATAAACATTAGGTCCTATTAACTTCTAGAGAGAAAAAGAGAATACCTTCAAAACTCACTAATTAGACTGACAGCTAATGATGGGGGCATAGGACAATAGAAAACATACTCAAAAGGCTGAGACATTGTAATGCTCAACTACTCCCTCTCCATCCATACCTAGAAAAAGAAAATACAAATCTTTCCTGGAGGAAATCATCCCACTCAGTTCCCTCAGTATGCCACAGATTAACTTGGAATTGAACACCTCATAACATATTATTTTAATAGTGATGAAGAGGTAAAGATATTTTCAAATAAAAACTGAGTTTGCTACCAACAGACCCTCACTTAAGGAATTTTGAGTAATGTACAGGCACACCTCAGAGATATTGTGAGTTTGGTTCCAGATCACAGCAATAAAGTGAATATGATAATGAAGTGAGCCACACAAATTTTTTGGTTTCCAGTGCATATAGCAGTTATATTTATAATATACTGCATCTATTAAGTGCACAATAGCATTATGTCTAAAAAACAATGTATATACCTTAATTTTAAAATGTTTTGTTGCTAAAAACATGCTAACCATGATCTCAATGTTCAGTGAGTCATAATCTTTTTGCTGGTGGATGGTCTTACCTTCGATTTGTAAAAATCACAGTATCTGTGAAGCACAGTGAAGTGAAGCCCAGTGAAACAAGATATGCCTGTACTCCAAAAAGGAGGAAAACCACTACAGAATAAGGTCTGCAGTGCAAGGTTGAGTGGAGAGCAAAGAAACTGGTGATCATATAAATAAATCTAAATACTATTAAATACTTAAAGCAGCAATAATGATGCCTGTTTTAAGATGTTAAAGCACCAGCCAAAGGTTATGGAGTCACGCCCCTGCTTTTTCCTCCAAGGAATGCTTCCATGACAGTAAATCCAGTAATTTCAATATCTTTTGCAATCTGGATAATGTGAGAATTTCCTAAATCATCAAGTCCTGTTTTTCTTCTTACTAGTTTTTCAAGCTATCTTTTTCCTTTTGCACTTTACTGTAAGCAGCAAGAAGAAACCAGGATGAACCTTTAACAATGTGCTTGGAAATCTCAGCTAAATATCAGAGCACATCAATTACACATCTGATTCCCGTACAACTGTAGGACTCACCAATGAGCTAAGTTTTCTACCACTGTATAACAAGGATCTCTTTTTTCCACTTTCTTTTACGTTCTCCATTTTCTTCTGTGCCCTCACCAACAGTGCCTTTAACATGTATATTTCTACCAACAGTCTGATCGAAGCAATCTAGGATTTTCTTATCATGCACCTCAGTTCTTCCAACCTCTGCCCATTGCCCAATTCCAAAGCCACTTTCACTTTTTATGTATTTGTTACAGCAGCATGCCACTTTCAGGTATCAAAATTTGTATTAATTTCCAATTGCTACTGTAACAAATTATTATAAACTTAGTGATTTAAAACAACAGAAATTTGTTCTCTTAAAGCTCTGGAAGTAAGAAGTCTACTGTGGCTCAGTAGGGCTATATTTCTGAGAAAGGCTCTAGAAGAGAATGGTTTCTTTGCCTCTCCTAGCTTCTAAAGCTTGTCCGCATGCTTGGCTCAGACCCCGTTTCCCATGTTCAAAGCCAGCACTGCAGCCTGTTATAGTCCTTCTCTCTGCTTAGGCCATCATGGCATCTTTTTTGGACTCTTACCCTCCCATCTCTCTCTCTTAAGAAGACTCACGTAATGAAAATGGGCCCACCCAGATAACTCAGGATAATTTCCCCATCTCAAGATTCTTAACATAATCGCATTTTCAAAGTCCTTTTACAATGTAAGGTAGCATTTTCATAGGTTCTAAAAGTTAGGACATGGACATCTTTGAGCCGGGGTATTAGCCTATCACAAGTAGGCATGGTAAAATTTCCAAAGCAACTACAAAAGAATACACAGAGAGTATATAGCTTCCAACCCAGTTAAGTGGAAAATGAAATTTTAAAATATCGATTTAAAAGAAGGCAATAAATAAAAAAACAACATAAAGATGCAAGCAAACAGAAAGCATAAAACAAAATGGCAGAAATAAAAAAAGTTCTACTATATGTTGTTTATAAGAAACACATTTTAACTATATATATATGCAGAAAGTTTGAAG